CATTTGGAGGCCCCATTGTCCCATCAGTCGTGCTAAACTGCACCCACATCCTTCATGAAACTGAACAATGATTGCTAATTGGCATAATACAACATTTGGTAGTTCTGTAGTTAAACCTTCATTCATTTACATTTGTAGCATTTATATTCAGTAGTGATTTTTTTTTTTAGCTTTCAGATGCCCTTGAGGGCCTGGAAATGCTCCAAGGCCCTGGGTACTGTGCCCACAGGAAGGGGTTTAGGGGAGGTGGGAGAATGGTCTCACATTGATAGTTAATGAGCCTGGGGCCCTTCTCGCGTCAGCAAACCGACCACCCTGCTCCCGGCACTGACGGTCTCCCAAAGACACGGCCAAGGTGCCAGCAGCAGGTGTTGGCGATGGGGCCCTCCCAGCCCAGAGGACCCTGGCAGCAGCCTGCATTCCAGGCTCAGGATTCCTGGAGAGCGTGGGGCCATGGCGTGTGTGTGTGTGTGTGTGTGTGTGTGTGTGTGTGCTGGGTCAGGTGGGGGCTGGGAGGACATGTGTGACTCTTCCTGCACGTTTGAGACCCCTTCGGTGCAGGCATGTGCTGGCCCCACGCCCCACAGAGCGGGGACCGCGGGACCCCTACAGGCTCATCTTGGACGTCAGGCCGGGATCTGGCAAGTTCTTGTGGCTGCCCGGAGGCCACAGGGCCCCAGCCGACGCCAGCCACTCGCTCCTGTGGCCTCCAGTCTCATTAGCAGTAACGCTGCTTGCTCCTCTTCCTTAAAATAGGACCCGAGCGTGGAGAGAGTTCTGGAATGGACGCTGTGTGTCCCTCTCCTTGGCCAGGTTTCAGATTCCGGGGTAGAGAACAGGGGCCTCCAGGGACTGACCCCCCTTCTTGTGAAAATGTGACCCTGGGTGGTAGTCGGGGGCGGGGGGGGAGGGAGGAAGAAGTTGAGGATGTTGGGCTGAGCCAGCCCGAGTGGCAAGTGGCGTGGTTGGGAAGCTGGGAAGAAAGCCCACCTCATAGGCACCCTGTGCTGTGGCTGGGGAGGCTGCTGATGCCGACACTGTTAGGAGAGCGGGGTGGCTGAGGGTGTTAGGAAGAAGGGGTCAAGACTGCACCGTGTCTGCGACTCTGGACAGAAGCGTGGGGCCGCCCTGCCTATTTGCCTCCCGTGGGAGCCGAGTGTGGTGGGAACATTTTGCTTCCTAATGGGTGAGGCTGTGTGTGTGTGTATGTCTGTGTGTGTGTGTTTCGTTTACCCCCATAAGCAGCCTTGTGACTGCCAGCTTCCTACCTCCCCCAAACGTGGTCCCAAATTCCTGGCCAGACACACAGGGGCACCTCCAAAGAACTGAACCTGCAGGCACCGTTATTTCAGTCCCCACACTCTGAGATGGACATAAAATCTCCTCCGCCCAATCTAGGTTGTTAAGACTAAAAAATCCATTTCTGGACATAAAATCTCCTCCGCCCAATCTAGGTTGTTAAGACTAAAAAATCCATTTCTGGGTACTTGGGGGCTAAACCATAATGGTATCAGTGACGTCTTTCCAAGAACTGGAGATGTGGCAAGAGGGGGTCCATTGGAGGGGGGAGATGCAGTGATGTTGGCCTGGAGTCCCCACTTCTGTGAGTGGCTTAGAGGGTGGGGGATCAGGAGAGCATATTCTTGAACACAAGAGAAAAAAAAAATCTCATTTCAAGACTCTCCAGGCTGGGAATTTGCCCTGGGCTAGCCCAGCCGGCCGCGTGGGCTGCAGCCAACCCCGCTCCCACGCCACCGCTGTTCCCTCTCCTCCCCAGCCCACAGAGGCCGCTTCAGAGGGGGCGGGAGCCAGGAGGGAGCTCTTCTGGACCGGAGGCTCAGCCTCCCTTGCCTCGGTCACTGGGCCCCATCCTTTGCTCTGCTCCCAGGCCACACGCACACAGACACACAGACACACACACACGAACACAGCACCCCAGCTGCCTCAGGATCTCCCCAGCAGTCCAGACTTCCTCGTGCGGGGCGGTGCTGGCTACAAGCAGACTAAGTCAGGAATGAGGGTTAAGGTCACCAGCCCCATGTGGCCTCCGAGTACTTGCAGTGTGACTGGTCTGAATTAAGCTGTGCTGGAAGAGGACAGTGCACACCAGATTCCAAGACAGTACAAAAGGGAGGAAAATAGCTCATTCATAATTTTTGCTATGTATACAATTTTTATTTTGTATTTATAATATATAAGTGTATAAAATATATATGTAATATTTTCTATTTATAACATAATTATATGTTAATATATAGTCATATATTTATAATACATAATAACATATTTATTACATGTTGAAATGATAACATTTTGGATGCACTGGGGTAAAGTCTATTATTAACATTAACTTAATTTTTAACTTTTAAAAAGTGTGGCTGCTAGAACGTTCTGAATTACATATGCAGCTGGTGTTGTACTTCTGTTGACCAACTCTGGGTTAAATTTGGGGTATGTGGAAGGTGTTCAAGGGTTAAAAGCTAAAGAGTCTGGGGAATGTGGGGTACCTACTCCCCAACACTACCTCTAGACTTGTCTGGATGGGTTTCTCCAGTTAGGATCCTGAGTTTTAATATCAGGGGTTTGGGAGTTGGAGACTTTTTTTTTTTTGAGTTGGAGACTTTTTAAATTTTCTGCTTTCAATTCAGCAATCTTTAAACAAAAATCTTTTGCTGATAATTTTGAGATAATTGTTTCTTAGAAGGTATTTTCATAGCATAAGATTTTCATTCCTAATATCAGCATTTCTTAAACTGGGATCCACAGATATATTTGCAGGATATAAAACAGCTTTCCCCTCCCTTTAACAGGTCCGTATGCCACTCAAGCTTGGCAGTGTTCTCAGGCCTCCCCCTTGATGCTCTGGGCTGTGATAACCTGGCTTCCCCATTCCTCTGTCCTTCCATACCCCTGACCTCTCCCTGTGCCCCCCACCCCCGTCAGCATCCTAATCTGTCTTCCTCCCAAGACCCAGGCAGGAGTCATCCCTGGAGAGACCTTGGGGTGGGGAGGCTGAAACAGATGCCCTTTCTCACCCTCCTCCTGGTTTCAGGATCTCTCCCCCACATAAGGATACTGAGGGGTCCTCTCACCTTTTTTGACAGTTAATGCAATCTCTGAGCCTCAGACCCTGAAGCTGTATGAAGGAATGAGGTGCAGATGATGAGTGGCAGGTTTGGATTTAAAACTCACACCATCAAGAGCCTGTCACCACCAAGGGGGCGACCCCAGCCCCACCAGACGCTTAGAGCCGTAAGAACTGACAATATTATTTACAATCAGCCACCATAGGTAATGGGAAATAAAACCGTCCTTGGGAAGATCGCCTGGAGGAGGAAATGGCAACCCACTCCAGTATCCTTGCCTGGGAAATCCCATGGACAGAAGAGCCTGGCGGGCTACAGTCCGTGGAATCACAAAAGAGTCAGACACAACTTGGCGACTAAATGAAACAAGAACAAACCCATAAAATGAGAATAAATGGGCTCAAGAAAGTTCTAGGTATTCATCTGATGACTACTATGATGTGCTTTTAGAAATATCAAGGGGTGTGTGTGTGTGTGTGTGTGTGTGTGTGAGAAACACTTTGGAAACACAGCACTTCCCTGGAACCCGTCCACACGGTCACTTTGGATGACTCGATGGAGAGACAGTGAGGCAGGGTCCAGGAGGGGAGGAGGGGCCTCTCTGCAGAGCGGAGAAAGCAGGGAAGGAGATGAGCTGTCCACCTCTTTCCCTTGACCCGCAGAGCCCCTCCTGCCCATGCCTCCATCCGGCCACCATCTGTCCTCCACGTGCCCCTTGAACTTGGAGTAGCGCAGATGTCTGGCATCCTCTCACTGTCGGGCTGGTGTGTGCACCCACCCACTTCCAGGAGGCTGTGTGCAGAGCTCCGACAGCCCTTCTCATGCGCAGTCCCTGCCCCCTGCCCTCTCTCTTACTGTCCAGCCCAGAGGCTGTCCACTGGAGAGGAGGCAGGAGGCCTGCCCCTCTGGCCTTCCCAGGTCTGCTCTCCACCGCTCAGAGCAAAGATGGGAAACCCTTTGCAAGAACTTGGTCTGAGAGGCTCATAAAGCGTTTTTTTTTTTTTTTTTTTTTGGTCTCACATGGCATGTAGGATCTTAGTTCCCCGACCAGGGATCGAACCCACGCCCCCTATAGTGGAAGCGTGGAGTCTTAAACTCTGGACCACCAGGGAAGGTCCCTCATTAAAGCTTTTTAATAAGCAATTAACTCAAAGGATGAGCCCTTTGGCTGGTCTGGAAATCTCTCCTCCCAGCAGGGAGCCTGGCAGAGAAAGACTGAGTGGGTGGGCAGAGTGGGTTCCGTCAGGAGCTTGGGGCCTCCTTTCCCGCCTCCACCAGTACAAACGAATAAATAAACAAAGACTCAGAGGCAGAGCCTGAGGCCTGGGCTCCCCCGGGGGCCCAGGACTCCATCAGTTTCTGGTCAAGGTTGTAGACAGGCTTAGGGACCCATGGGCACTGTGTTCCTCTGAGTAGGGGGCCTTTGAGGGCGGGAAGGGAGGGGTCCCCTTCTGGTAAGGCCCTCAGCTCCCAGAGTGATGGAGACCCCACGGAAGGGCAATCCCTTTCACTTGCCCCCACACCTACTGGGCTTCTTGTTCTACTTGCCAGACTTTTCTCCCCATCACTGTCCTTAGGTCAAGGCGGATGGCTCGAGCAAGACAGAACTATCGGGGGAAGGGGGGTGCCGGGAAGGGGGTGCTGTGGGCTTGGCCCAGTGATTTCCAGGTGGAAACAGCATGGCGTGCTTGCTTATATAGAGCCCAAGTCAGATCCAGGCTGTGGGATCCCAGGCAGGTTGACACTTCTAAGCTGGGGCTCAGTGGGCTGACTATATTCTGCCTGAGCTATTGGCTGGCTCCTCCCTGTGGTCTCCTGGAGCCCAGGGTGGGGCTGCTCCTTGCACAACTTCAGTGGGGCACCACTTACATGGAAGGCAACCTTCTCCCATCTCTGTTCTCCTCGGTCCTCCAGGCTCTTGAGCAACAACAAGATCACCAGCCTCCGGAGCGGAGCCTTCCTGGGACTGTCCCTGCTGGAGAAATTGTAAGCGCCCGGGCAGGGTGGGCCCGGGAGGATGAGGGGTGCTAACTGCTGAGGGGCGCCGCGACCCAGAACCTGCTGGTGGAGCAGGGCCCAGAGTCGGACTTGACCACCAAGCGGAGGTCAGAGGGGCTGGTCTGGGAAAGAGAGACCTGCTCCCTCCCCGGGGACAGCAGAGAGGCCTGGGGACACCTCGCTGGTCCAGGCAGGGGTGGGGCTGTGGGAAGCTCATTAACGCTCTTTAATGAGCAATTAGCTCCAAGGGCTGAGCCCCTTAACTGGCCAGAAGCCACCGCCCCCCCCTCCCAGCTGGGGGCCCAGCAGACCGGGCAGAGGGAGGGTTTAGTGTGATTGGGGCCTCTTTCCTGCTTCCCTAAACACAAGCAATAAACAAAGCTCCCAGGGCCCAGAGTCCTGGCCAAGGGTGGGGACAGCGGGTCACATCTAATTCTCCCGCTCCATGTTCCCCCACCACCCTGACTGCTGTGGCATCAGCTGCCCCGTGGGGCTGGAGGTGGTGGTGGGGCCTTCGGTTGGCAAGGGTCCTGCTAGCCCAAGAGAAGCTTCTTCCCCGAGTTGGGGACCTGCCTCCATCACGGGCAAAGTCCATGCCAAAGGAGAGGATTGAATCAAGCCCTCTCTCAGATCCCCGTTCAGTTGGCGGTGTCCGATCCATAGCCTGTACAACGGCTTTGGGTCCTGTCTTCCCCACGGGACACCTGGGCCTCCTGTCCCCGCTGGAGCCGGACCGTTTCTAGCTTCCCCACCTCCAAGCCCCCCGTCTCCCATCTCTGCTCCCACCCACTGGGCATTCCCAAGGCCTCCAGCAGGGCCCTGTCCCCTCCAGTACCATTTTGCCTAAAAAGCTTAGATCAGAGCAATGGAGGCTACTCAAGGATAAGGTGGACGCCTGCTCTCAAAGAGTCAAAGAGATTACCGTCTCGTGAGACCACAGACTATGCCATATATAGAAAAATGAAGCAGGTCGGGGTTTCTGTGAAGTCCAAAGGAGGGATCAGGGAAGGCTAAAAAGTTCAAGGGTAGTAGAGAAGCAGTATCTACGTGACATCTTTATCTGGGACAACGATCTCATGAGATTATCTCTATGACGCCCACTTCTCAGGAGAAGGGCAAGCCCCTCTCCCAGTCCTCCTGGGGCTCCGGGACAGCTTGGTGGCCTGGCTGGGCTTGTGGGGGTGGCAAGGCAGAGCATGTTCCGTGTGATCCGGGCATCTTGGAGTTGGGACGGGTCCCGCGATGCTGGCCGCGAACACACATAGCCATGACCAGTCCTGCTGACCATCTGCTCCAACAGGGAGGTAGGGCTGCCACCAAACCCCTTTTTGAAAAGACTCATTAGGGACTTCCCTGGCAGTCCAGTGGTTGAGACTCTGAGCGTCCACTGCAGGGGGCACGGATTTCATCCCTGCTCAGGGAAGTAAGATCCTGCATGCCAAGTGATGCAGCCAAAAATTAAAAATAAGTTAAAAAAAAAAACACTCGTGGAGATGGAAATGGCAACCCACTCCCCTGTTCTTGCCTGGGAAGTCTCATGAACAGAGGAGCCTGGCAGGGTAGAGTCCATGGGGGTCTCAAAGAATTGGATGTGACTTAGGAATTAAAAGATAACAACAAATACACATTTTACAGTTATTTCTTCACATGGAGTATTATTTTTTAAACAAAACGTTTTATTAATTAAAAAAAGGAAAACTTTGTATAAAAGTAAAAAAAAGCAAAACACTGTTAGGTACCAACAAAAAGGGAAAGATTTTCTCTCCCAGGAGCCGCTAAGCGCTCGGGAGCTATAATTCCTGCATTCAGCCCAGGTCTTAGAGGGCTGAACTGCCAGAAACCAGATGCTCTCTCCAGGGATCTTTTGGAGAAAGACTAACCGCAGAAGCCTCTGGAAGCCTCTAGGACATCCTTCCAGCTTTACTGTCTCGCCTCATCAGTCCCAGACATGCTGGGTCTGCCCGCTTGCTGGGCCTGCCAGGTCATTCTTCAATCCCCGGAGGGTATATTTTCTGATGAAGATGAGAAGATGGCCCTCTCCCCTACACCCCATGCAAACCTACAGTACCCACGGGGACCTGGGTCACTGCACTGCAGGTGCATTCAAACCATGGTGAAAGTGAAAGTGAAGTCGCTCAGTCGTGTCCGACTCTTTGCAACCCCATGGACCGTAGCCTGCCAGGCTCCTTCATCCATGAGATCCTCCAGGCAAGAATAGTGGAGTGGGTTGCCATTTCCGTCTCCAGGGGATCTGCCCAACACAGGGATCAAACCCGGGTCTCCTGCACTGCAGGCAGAATCTTTACCATTTGAGCCACCAGGGGTGCCTGTCAAACCACGGAGGCAGGCAGAGAACAGTGGGACAGGAGTTGGGAGTAATGACCTGTTAGGAATCACCTAGTTGTCCACTCTTGAGATGTTCCCTGAGCCCCCTCTGTGTGCCAGGCTGCACGCTGGGCATCGAGAGTGAACACAGCAGGCCAGGTGCCTGCCCCATGGAACTCACCTGCCATGGACAGGACCCAGAACATAGCCAAGAACTGAATAACAGATAAGGAGACCATGAATGCTGCAGAGAAAAACCACCACCAGGGGAGGGGGGACAGAAAGCACTGCAGTGAAGTGCTGTTTGATGTAGTGAGGTCAAGGCCTTGCTGGAGGTGATGGAGCCCAGGCCCTTGGGAGGGAGGAAGCTGACCAGCAGGTAGCCGTCTGGAGGCAGAGGGATCAGCAGGTGAGAAGGCCCTGGGGTCCAGTCTGTCTGGTAAGTTCGAGGCACTGAAAGAGGGCAGCGTGACTGGGGAGTGGTGCGAGGTGGGGTCAGACGGAGCCTTAGGTTTGCTCGTTGGTTAAAAGTGGAGAGACAGGGTGGTTTGTAAAGTGCCTTCTGGATTTTAAACTCTATGATCCTTGTGTGTGGGTGATACCCATGGTGCTGCAGGAGAAGGAAAAAAATATCAAAAAGCCCAGTGACGTGGCCACCTGGGCTTTCAGAGAAGGGGAAGCAGAGGGGGTGCTGGGTTCAGCAGGTGCCCACACTTCCCTGGGATGGAGAGGCAGTGCAGGGCTGGAGAAGCCCAGGGCCTCAAGCCTGGCTGAACACCACTGTATCAGTCAGTCTTCTGCAGAGAGCACCGAACGGAGATGGATGTGTGTGTCCTTATATAAATAGGCAAAGAAATTAGTCAGTTAGGCTTCCCAGGAGGCAGTAGTGGTAAAGAATTCACTTGCCAATATAGGAGATGCAAGAGCCACAGGTTCAATTCCTGGATTGGGAAGACTCCCTGGAGAAAGAAATGGCAACCCACTCCAGTATTCTTGCCTGAAAATTCCATGGACAGAGGAGCCTGGCAGTCCATGAGGCTGCAAAGAGTCGGACACGACTGAGCCTGCACACATACATTTAATTAGTGGTTATATTTTTTAGCTGCACCGCAAAGCTTTCTAGATCTTAGCTCCCTGATCAGGGATTGAACTCAGCCCCATGGTGGTAAAAGTGCCAAGTCCTAACCACTGGACTGCCAGAGAATTCTAAGAAATTATTTCTTTATCCACCTGCTAACGCAGGAGACTTCCGTCAAAGTGGATTCGATCCCTGGAGAAGGAAATGGCAACTCACTCCAATATTCTTGCCTGGAAAATCCCATGGACAGAGAAGCCTGGCAGGCTACAGTCCATGGGGTTTCAGAGTTGGACACGACTTAGTGACTAAACAATATAAAGAAATTTATTTTAAGAAAATGGCTCATGTAATTGTGTGTGTGTTCATGCGCCCAGCTGTGTCTGACTCTGTGATCCCGTGGACTGTAGTGTGAATTGTGGGGGCTGGCAAATCCAAAATCTGTAGGACCAGTCAGCAGGTTGGAGAGTCAGGCAGGAACGGATGCTGCAGTCTGAAGGCAGAACTTCTCTGGAAAAACCTCGGTTGTTACTCCCAGGGCCTTCAACTGGTTGGACGAGGCCCACTCATGTTAGCAAAGTCATCTTCTTTACTTAAAGTCAGTACCTCCACAGCAGCACCTAGATTAGTGACTGATTAAGTCACTGGGCACTATAGTCCAGCAGTCCCCAACTTTTTTGGGTACCAGTTTTGTGGAAGACAAATTTTCTACGGAGAGGGTGGGGGATGGTTTCTGGATGATTAAGAGTGCATTACATTTATTGTGCACTTTATTTCTATGTAGTGGCAATCTCGGGATATTCCGTCTTGATTTTAGGGTGAGGGTTCATGCTCCTGTGAGAATCTAACGCTGCCACTGCTGATCCGAGAGAAGCCGGAGATCAGGCAGTAATGCAGGTGACGGGGAGCGGCTGTAAACACAGATGGAGCCTCAGTTGCTCACCTGCCGCTCATCTCCTCCTGTGCAGCCTGGTTCCTATGGGCCACGAATCGGTGCCAGTCTGCGGCCCGGGAGTTAGAGACCGCAGCTGTAGTCTGACACATAAAGTGATCATCACAGTCACTCCCCAGAGGTGGAAAGAGGCCCTGGGCTCTGGTCCTGGAGATGCTAATGATCAGGTCAGCAAGGGCCTGGGAATCGTTGACAAGGTAGGCAGGCGATTCTCATGCCTGTCGGGGTTGGGAACCAGCGGACCAGACGACCCCAACACTGTGGGCCTATTCGTAGTGAATGAGACGCCAGGGCCTGGCGAGCAGTTGGTGCCAGGAAACACTGATCTCTCTGTCTTCTCGAACTGGGCCGTCCAGGCTGCCTCGGTGGAGCAGGTGGCAGCTTTACATCCCAGGGGCCAGGCAGCCAGTCCTGTGGGAGTTATCAGTCCTCCAGGTAACTCAGTCTGGGCTGCTCCAGAAAGTGCCAGAATTGCCTGCCCATGCTGAGTGCCCGTCTGGCCTCTGCGGATGGGTTGGGTGTAAGGGGCCCCTGTTTTGCAGTGCAGAGCCCCGAGGTCGGGGAGGGGACACAGAAAGGGGACCTCGAGGGAATGTGCCTGAGACGATCCCATGAGAGGACCTGTGCCCCAAGGAG